GTAACTGCCGAGTGCGCAACACAGCCGACTGCCCGCTGTGCATGCAAAATATCTGCTTTTGTAGTTTGTGTGGGGAAAAGCACACACTGTAGGCAAATTTGTCCACCTTGTACTATCACACGACGTCTACATGCTTGTGTATCTTAAGGCCACCCCATAAGTGTGTGCACTGCTTGTCCAAGGGAATTTGTTAAACTTTTCCGCTCCGTGGGGCAATCACCCTCTGAGGCAACTCTGAAGGAGATAATCGAGAAGCACGATCCGGAAAATACAGGAAAATTTGACCTTCACACCTTTTTGCAGATCTGCGATTCCCCGTACTTCGCAGACCCAATGAAGGAAGAGAGACTAGTGGAATGCTTTCGTATGTTTGACGACGACGCTATTGGAAAGATAAGTATTCCAGAATTAAGATATGTACTGCAACAAATAGGGGAACCCTTGACAGACGATGAAGCTGACAAATTTATTGACTGGGCCATGAAGGTAATGTCATTTCCTGGGTACTGGCCGGCGGGATCCGAAGCCACTCACCTGCGAGCCAACGAGAAAATATGAATACACCATGAAACGTATTACTATTCCGCCGCTGCTAAATGGCACTTTTCACGTTTTTTGATTCGGTGAGGCGCCTTTGGAAGTTCTTTGACAACGTATTGGCGCGTTGCTGATGGAGTGCGATCCCTGCCATATGTTCAGGTACCTGATGCGATATCGGATGGCGGAATGCTCAACTACGACATTCTCGCACGGGAACTTATGAACAGGGACCCAGATGTCTTATGAAACAAGCCCACCGAGAAACTGATTCCGATGAAAGGGGTTGTTTATCCAAGGCGACATCCACCTGAGATATGTGATAGCCATACACGAGTTCGTGAGAATTCGCCAAAAGCCTAAAAACACTGCAGGACACGCCTGCCTTATCGTTCGTTTGCTTCGTATTCCCCAGGTAGTCAGGGGCTTTTCTCGCCGTTGAGGTGCAACTGGGGTTTGCTTGTCTTCTAGGGATTTTCTGCATACGTTGAAACCAGAAGCTCGTGCCGGCAGTTTTGCTTGGTGTTGGGCACGTCGTACCATTGCATAGCATTATTTTCTTTGTGCAGAGTTACAGGTAAATAGTTCGACCACACCGTCGCCCCAGGCACAGTTTATAGCAACTGTCGACAGCAGAGTTTTCGGCAGTGCATATACAGTCGTACTGCGTAGTCTGCCGTATAGGTCCCCTATAGGCAACCGTTTATTATGTGATACTATTTCAGAGCTGGAAGGGGGAAACTAATTAGTGCTGGAGGTGGTAGCAAGAAAACTGCAGCAGCAGAAAGCAGGTAAAATAGGTCGGGGCATCCAAGTAAAGTCAGGTGCAGCCATGCGCGCTTAACGGCAAAAATTGAGATGTTTAAAGTCAGTTATAAGGAAATTAAGGAACGCTTGAGGACCCCCAACGCTGACGGCTGGCACAGCATGGGGATGCCTCCACAGAAGGTTGTGGAGGATTATATATCGCGATAATGCATTCGCGCTAACATGCTCATTGAACTGTAAAATGTTTGTGGAAACTGGAGAAAATGTGTCTAGCGAAGTCATTTTTTCTACTCGCTTAATAATCCAAGGGGGATAAACTTTGAAGAGATGAATTGCTCGTCGCTTACTTGCATCTATTTGACCCGTGCGGCAGGCGTGCAAGCCATCGAAGTGTGCACAGGGTACACATCAGAGGAAATGCAGACGGCGTGGCACTAAATCCTTTCATCATGCTACGAATCATCTATGGGCTACGTAGGAATGTTTCAGGACCTGCGTGGCCTTGCAAACAAGGAGCTGGAAGTACTTTATTGCTCCCAAAAACAGTATGAATAGACATTGCTTTTGCGGCCTCGAGGGTCAGAGTATTTGTAAGCAATGCACATATATAAGCAAACTGCCAAAGTAGCAACTGCGCTTGATGGAATTTAAACGTCTGGGAGACCCTTGGAACGAAGCAAAGCCCGAAGAAGCGTAACGTACTGCTGTACTGCCTGCATGAAGTGGTTTATCTGCTTAGTATTGTATTTACGTCGCTGACACCGAAAAGCAACAGACAAATAGAGGTTGTTTCACTGCACATTGCAAAGACTTCGCAGCCTGAAACCTATTTGCTCGCGTGTGCAGCTCCAGATGTACAGGAACAAACAAGTGTGCCTTCATGATTAGCAGCACTGCCCTCTAACACCACTAGCCCCATGCGTTTAGATACAACAGCTTTGGTACTTTCGAGCTA